GATTCTGTCTATCTCTCCACAGATGTTGCCAGACCTGTTGAGTTTCTCCAACACTTCGTTTTTAATTTTAGATTTCAAACATCAACAGTATTTTGGTTTTGTTCCAGGATGAGAAAGCTAGATTAGGATTTTGTTTCATTGTGTGACTTCATGTGAGTTTTAAATGGCAAGCAGCCCATTGTCAGCCGAAATGCTGATGGAGCAATCCTGAGACGACACCTTTACGTAATTCGTCTATCAGTCAGCCTTTGTAATTTAAAAGTTGGTATAGATCACTAAATTTCCCCAAAATTCTTGAGCATCCTGTCAGATAGCATTTAATATGAGAGAGGTAGTACTTTGTGCAAGTTCATTCAGCAGGTGCTATGAGGGAGAGTAGAGGTGCTAACTTTGTTTTAGTCCAAGCCTCGAATGGAGTGTGGTCCCTTTTTAAAAAGTCGATTGATAGAATGCGACTTTCCCTATAGAGATGTGTGGAATAATCATGGAATTACATGGTGGTTGTAAATGTGAATTATTTGTGAAGAGTAGGCCCAAGTACAATCCCTGCACATTGCTTGTGGCCTCAGTGCTCAATGAAAGAGATTTTGGGGGTTCTGCATGTAGTTGGACCTTCCTTTTAGGTGCCTGTAGGCACCACTCCCTCTCCTGAGAGGAAGAGGCAGGAGAAGGTTAAGATCCCTCATTCCTTTCCTGCCTTGCCATCAATGCTGACCACTTAATGTTGAGTGGTGATTTCAGGTCTATGCACATATTCAGCGCACACTGATTATGCTGGATATGAGTCTTCATGATGATTGCCACCCTGGTGGTTACCTCCATGGAGGTAGCTAGATGCGTATATGCCAGAGTCAACACAACACTGATAACATTGGTGGACTCGTCCATCCTTTGATTTAACTTGCAATTGCATCTGACAGACTCATCTGCTGTTCCTGGGCCAACTGGTGCATTTTGAAGTTAACAACAGTGAAGGGATTTCTTCCTTGAACAGTGAGGGAGACATGTCAGCGATGTGCTTACCAGATTGTACACCCAACCCTAATCCAGATGGGGAATTCCCCGAGTTGAAAGTTTGAGTTGGTGATGCGTTTTTAGTTGCTTTCGCTTCCACAGAGAAGGTGCAGGGTGAGGGTTTTCTAGGGCTGGCCTTTTTTTTTTTTTTGTTTGCTGTGGTTCTCTGAGTACCCCTAGTGTTTACCTAAAAGAAAAGAGGGCATGAGTTGTGTAAAAGTGATAAAATCTTGTGCAGCTTAAGAATGAATTAGGACTGGTGCTAATTAAGGAACAGCACAGGACAACGAAGCTTAGTGGATAGATTGCTCATGGAGGTCTCTTAGTCCTTATGTAAGCAACCACACTATTGAGTAGCCATCCCAAACACTCTTTATTTCTTATGGGGTGAAGAGGCTCATGTCTCTGCCATTGGTTATTAGACATGCTTTCCTGCAAGGAAACCAGGGGAGGGATTGAATATGATGGGAGTGGATGGGAGAGGCATTTGTAGTAATTCTGGGGTTGCAGAAATGATGAGATATTCATGTTGAATGACTAAGTAATGCAGAGATCAGGAATGGTGAATGATTTGGCAAATTGAAGTGGGTGGGAGCTGGTGTTTGGACAGGGTGCAAGCAACAGTGAGATTGTAGCTCAACAAGGCTCATGGGATGACCAGAGTTCACATGAATGGTGACCCTTTGAATGTGAGTTAACAGAGAGGCGCTTCAGCTTGCAGAGTGGAAAAGGTCATAAACTTACTTTATGCACTGCTGGGCATTGCAATTAATCCTGGATACCACCCTGACCTGGGTTGGTATCTCGATCCAGACTGGCTGTGACTAGTAGTATCGCCTCCTTCGGTGAACTGCAGGATAAAGAACTATCCTCCTTTCTGCCACCCTGACCAATATCACCTCCAAGTCCCTGTCGGTGAAACTGTGCGTCAGCTTTCTCAGTAATAACAGTACAGAGCTACAATATAAAGCACAGTTGCTAGCTTGCATAACCTGAAGTTCTGCAGAGCTGTTATTTAAATGTGGTGTCAGCAGCATGGGTATTGCAAAAGTCCTGTCACTGGCAGCTACTCCCAACTCTCCTGCTGCACGAATCCATCAGACAGAAAGCCGAGATGACAATTAAGTGATCGATGGGCTAAGAGCAGAAAATTGCTTCAGAAAATTGATATGAGCCAGGGTTCACTGGCCACTATGCATCTCACCTGCAAAAAGTGGCAATTTTCAGCCCTGTAATCTTGGATGCGTTGTGCAAATTTTAAAGATCTGCATAATCCAGGATCAATTGCAATGCCCATAGAAAACATAAGAGCAGGAATTGCCGCTCAGCCCGACAAACCTGCTGTACCATTCAAAATGACCATGGCTGATTATTCAGCTCAGTACCCTGTTTCCACTTTCTTCCTATACCCTTAGCACCTTATTGAAAACATTCAACTCTTTCTGTGCTTGAGGGTTCCACTGGCGCACTAGTATATGGGTGAAGAAACTTCTCATCTATGTCCTAAATGTTCTATCTTGTATGATTAGACTTTGATCCCTGGTTCTGAGCTCCTTCGTATTCAGGAAACTCCTTCCTGCATTTACCTTGTCTAATCATGTTAGAATTTTATCAGTTTCTATGAGGTCCTCATTGTTCTTGTAAACTCCAGTGAATATATTCCTAGGTGATCCAGCCTGTCTTCATTCCTGCCATCCCAGGTATTGGTCCAATAAACCTTTGCTATAATCCTCCTGTAGTCACAATACCCTCAGATAAGGAGGCCAAAGCTGCAAGCCATACTCCAGGTATGATCTCACCATGATCTCAGTTCTGAGGAAGGATCACCGGACCCGAAACATTAACTCTGTTTTCTCCTCCACAGATGCTGCCAGACCTGCTGAGCTTTTCCAGCAACTTTGTTTTTGTTCATGATCTCCCCATGGCCCTGTACAACTGCAGCAAAATATCCCTCTCCTGTACTTGAGTGCTTTCTCTATAAAGACCAACATTTTGGTTTACCTGTTCACTGCCTGCTGCATGTATGATCTAATTTGATATATGTTTGTCAGGAGTGTTTAATTATCCTAGGTGTCATTCTCTAAGTAAGGATATTTTGGTCTTATTTTTATTAGGTCACTGTAATAGACAATACTGAAACACATTGAAATATAGGATATTTAGAAGATTCAGAAATACAATGTTTTGTTGTTTTGAAGATTACATCACTAAATTTGTACTTCTGGTGAAAATTTATTTTCTGAAATATTTTAATGAACTCTATTAAAATTACTTTTTCTTTAATCTAAATATTATGTTCCCAGCTGATGGTAATGATAGGCATGTCAATTTCCAGAATTAAACCTGGTCTAATGAATTGTGTTTAATTTTCACGGTTTGTTGTGACAGTCCCTGAGGTATAGTCACAAAGTGCAGATATTTTTTTTAAAAATAGAAATTTTTAAAAAAATTGTGTGTTTAATACAACATGGAGAAAAAAACAAGAATGTCTATCTAACCCAGTTAGAAAGTTCTTAACTTAAACACCAAAACGAAGTTTCAACCTGTTTCCCAATACTATCTTTTTGCAGATACTTAATCCCAAAGTAATACAACTTTGACTTCAACTCTTGAATTTTAACATGACTGTCTCTTGATTTGTTTGATTTATTGTAGTCACACGTACCTAGGTACAGTGAAAATCTTTGTTTTGCAAGCAGTACAGGTAGATCATAGCAAACCACGACATAGAGATCAAAGGGTGCTTAGATAGAGGGAGGCATACAAGTTACACTGCATAGGAGATGCGCAAAGCAAGATCAACATTAAGAAGAAATAGCAAGAACTGCAGATCCTGGAGTCAGAGGCAACACGGTGTGGAGCCGGAGGAACACAGCAGCCAGGCAGCATCCAGAGGAGCAGAAAAGTTGATGTTTCGGGTTCCTCTGATGCTGCCTGGCCTGCTGTGTTCCTCCAGCTCCACGTTGGATTGTCTCAACACCTAACAAGATCAACATTACTTGAAGTTAGAGTCAATTCATCAGCCTATAATGGCAGGGAAGAAGCTGTTCTTGAACCTGTTGGTGCATGTTTTCAAGCTTCTGTATCTTCTGCCTGATGGAAGAGGTTGGAGGAGAGCAATTTCTTTCTCAGCTGAGATAATTTTGCACTTTCTTTCCAAGGCTGCTGGTGTGAATCTTTCACAATTCTGGAAGTCCTGAAAATTTTCACTTATAACAAGTTGAACATTTCTATACAAGGTCTCCTGGCTTGGAAACTCCCCAATCTAATAGCAGTTTGGCTGGTGTGATCAGTTTGCTTGAACTAAAATTTGACACTCGTAATCCAGCAGTAGACAAAGAGAAAAACAATTGAAAGAGCTTAGTAGCAGTCAGGAGACACCTTACTGCAGCTTTCAATCCTGTTGAGACTCGAACAGCAATTACTGAATTTCACAACTAAAAAACTAAAATCTAGAAATTGTGGTCTGAGAGCTGGCCACACCCATCCAGGCTTGATTCTGTTTTCCCAATTTAAAAAAAAAAGTACCCAAGGCCTCCCAGGCTGTTTACTTTATTGCGACTTCACTAGCCAGTTTAGCAGCTCTGCCTTAAAACTTCTCTTCAAAACAAAACCAGGACAAAATATACCTCTTGAAGCCACAGGATTATCTCAGAAATCATGTATTTAGGTCACTGTGTGGCATATTAATTTCTATACTGTTTTGAAAAATAACTTTCACAAAACTAACCAATCTGCCACTATTTTAAAATCCAAATTCCAAATGGTAGTTTATACTACACCTTTATGGTAAGATGCTGCCATTTTTATCAATTTGCAACTCTCTAAAAAAATTTTCACTTCAAGTTGAGTTTTATTCTTTGGAACTCAATCTACCAGATTTGAATTGCAAGAAAGTTTGTCCTGTTATGGTATTTTGCTTTAATCTGAAATATTGATGAATGTTGTGATTTTTTTTTAAACTGATTGACACTTGTGTTGTATAGGTTACCAAACTTCTGTTTTTGGTGTGTCCAGCGAGTGTGTGTTAGACAATTTGCCTGGAGTGAAAACTAATGGCTGCACTGTCGAAGTTGTTCCAGCTTTACCACGACTACAAATTACTACATCTCTGCCACGGTAGGACATTTGGAAATTAATTACATCTTGAGCCATGTTGGTTGCTTTGTGTGTGTTGATTTCCCCATTGTGTCCTTGCTCAGCGCAGTTAGAATAGGGAAAGGTTTTATTTATATCCTGATGTTTGCCATTCTAACATGGGATATAATTTGTAACACACTTTTCACAAATTGAAATGAGTACGATCAATGCATAAACTCAGGTTTCTGACTATAAGCTGTATAACCAAAAATATATAATGGCTTTGTCACCATTTAACCATGAAACTTAAGCTGTGGTTGATTGGCATAGATGTGGGGCTATTTATAAAAATTGCAATGCCAAGCCTCATTTCCAACTGCATTTCAAAGTGACTCCGTATTCTGAAATATTTAGCTTTGTTTTCCTGCACAGCAGTTGTTGTATTATGTTTCACCTGTAGAATCCAAGAATAATAGCAGCAAGGCAGTACTCAATGAATGGCTGGACACAAGGATACTCGGAGGAACAAGAGGGAAGTCAGTGTTCCTGTCCGTAGACCCCTGAAGGCTGCAGGACTGGTTAATAAGGTGGTTAAGAAGGCATATGGGACACTTCGCTTTATCAATTTAAGCGCAGGGAGTTCACGTTGTCGCTGTGCAACGTTTGGTTCGGCCACAGCTGGAGTACTGAGTGCAGTTCTAGTCATCACAGTATGAAGGATGTAATTACAATGGAAGGGTTGCAGAGGAGATTCATGATGTTGTCTGGATTGGAGCATTTTAGCTATGAAGAGAGGCTGACTAGGTTGCTTTCTTCAGAGTAGGGAAGGCTGAGTGGAGACGTGAGGTGTATGAGATTGAGGGGCATGGACAGGATGGGTTGAAAGCAGCTGTTCCCATTTGTTGAAGGATCAATAACAAGGGGCACATAATTTTAAGGTGAGGGCAGGAAATTTAGAGGGGATTTGAGGAAAGGTATTTTTGACCCAGAGTGTGATAACCTAGAGTGCACTGCCTGGGAGGGCTGTGGAGGTAGGCAGCGTCACATTGTTTAAGTACGTGGATATCATTGCATTCAAAGCTGTGGACCAAGTTCTGGAAAATACACTAAGTGTGGATAGGTCAGCGCAGACCCAAACAGCTGTATGATTTTGTGCTCAGTGACTTAGAAAGACGGCATTTGGTCTGTTGTGTTTGTGCTGACTTGTTGCCTAGAGTGAATAAGGTCGTTCGTCTCCCCTGCCTTTTCACTGTCCCCCTGCAAGTCTGGTCTTGGGCTCTTGTGGCACATTGGTACTGTCCCTATCTCTCTGAGTGAGAAGGCCTAGGTTCAAGTCCCACCTGCCCCAGATGTGTATCATTACATGTCTGAAATAGGTTGATTAAAGTAATTGCAATTCTTGTCTTTTTACCCAGTTGTGTTTTGAAAACCATGATTGAATCTACCTTCACCACACTTTCAAGCAGTTTCTTCCAGATTAGAATGTAAAATGCAGAAACAGAAGTTAGTCATTTGTCCCATCAAATCCCATTTTGCAATTCATTGAGATCATGGCTGATCTGATGAATCTTAACTCCTATTTTGGTTCTCGTTTCTCCCTCAAGGGGAAACAACCTCTCCGCATCCAGCCTGTGAAGCCTTCAAAGAGTCTTGTGTTTTAAATAAGGTCTCCTCTCATTCATCTAATTTCTAATCTAATTTCCAATCTAATTTCCAGCCTCTGCATCCTTTTCATTATAAGGCAATCCCTCCTTACCCAGGATTAGTGTAGTGAACCTTCTCTGTATTGTTTCCAATGCCAGTCTCTCTGCCCTTGGATAAGGGGACTAAGACTGTCTATAATATTCCAGCTATGGACTGACTATGCCTATATAGTTTTAGCAAGACTTCCCTATTTTTGTACTTTGTTCCCTTTCAAATGCAGGCCAACATTGGTATTTGCCTTTTCCTCCTACCTATTGATTGTGGATGCTAATTTTATGTGATTCATGATGTGGAGATGCTGGTGTTGGACTGGCGTAAACAAAGTCAGAAGTCATATGACACCAGGTTTTAGTCCAACAGTTTTATCTGAAATCTCTCAAGCTTTTGAAGCACAGTCCCTTCGTCAGGTGCAGTGAGAGAGCAGGGCACACAGACACAGACACAGTTTATAGACAGAGAGATCAAGGGCAGAGAGGTCAAAAGATCATACACCTTGTGTGAGTGGAGTATCAGATATTAAGTTTCTGCAGCTGACCGGGAGTATTAGATGGTAAGTCAAGTATTAACAACTGAGCAACCAACAAGAGGATGTCCCATAATCTGATTAAATGAGGCAGAGAGATAATTAGAAAACAATAAGAATAACGTTATGCTGGAGACAAACTAAATGACTTGAATTGCATGCTGAATTCAAAATTGTACAAATTAATTAAGGTAGGGAGATCATAACAATTTATCAAGGTGATGCTGTCAGAACAGGACAGTAAGGAAGATTTTACAGGTACAGAACATTGTGATGGGGTCACCTGCAGCATGACGTGAACCCAAGATCATGGTTGAGACTGTCTTCATGGGTACGGAACTTAGCTATCAGTCACTGCGTTGCGATTCTGCATTGTTGTGTACCTTGGAGGATGCTTACTCGAAGATTGGAGGCTGAATACCCTTGACAACTGAAGCGCTCCCTGATATGGGGGGCGGAATCGTACCTGTCTGGCAATTGAAGGCGGTATAGCGAAGGCTCACCAGATCGGTTCCTGGAATGAAGGAATTGATCTTTAATGAGAAATTGAGTTTCCTGGACCATGGGCGTTGCTGGCTAGGCTAGCACTTACTGACCGTCCAAAAACTGCCTTTGAACAGATGTTTGTGAGCTGCTTTCATGAATCACTGCAGTCTATATTATATGCCAGGAGGTGGACCCATTGTGTTTGAGGATTTTGATCCAGTATCTGTGAAGGAACAATGATACAGTTCCAAGTTAGACTGATGCGCCCCTTGGAGGTGTACTTGTCAGCTGTCGTGGCCCTGTATGCAAGAATTCAGTTTTGAAGTTCAACTGAACTTGTAAGAACCACTATTTTATTAACTCTGGCTAGCAACTGCTCCTTCTTTGTGATTAGGAGCATCCTAGCTCTAACTGTATTGTCGATACATCAACAGCATGTGATCAATTTCCGATTGGCTTCTTTTGAAGTGATGGTCTTCTTAATGATGTCCCTTCTTAATCTAGAATCCCTACAGTGCGGAAAGAGGCCCATTGTGTCTGTACTGACACTCCGAAGAACATCCCACCCAGAACTTGTCGCTCACATCCCTTTCATTAAACTTGCCTCTCTTATCAAGCAGTTCAGCCATGATCTTGTATAATGGTGGAACAGGTTTGAAGGGCTGACTGGCCCACCTCTGATTTGTATTTATGTATGCACACTCCTGGCATGTCACTTGTAGGTGACGTATGGGTTTTGGGGAGTTAGAAGATGAATTCTTTGTCAGAATATGGGCGGCATGGTGGCTCAGTGCATGCTACCTCACAGCGCCAGTGACCCAGGTTTGATTCCACCCTCGGGCGATTGCCTGTGTGGAGTTTGCACATTCTCCCGGTGTTTGCATGGGTTTCCTCCGGATGCTCCAGTTTCTTCCCACAGTACAAAGATGTGCAGGCTAGGTGGATTGGCCATGCTAAATTGCCCATGGTGTTCAGGGATGTGTAGATTAGTTTGGGTTATGCAGGATGGGTTTTGTTGAGATGCTCTGGGGGTCGGTGTGGACTTGTTGGGCCAAAGAGCCTGTTTCCACACTGTTGGGATTCTATAATAAGAATTCTCAATCTCTGACCTGCTGTTATAGTCACCATGTTTATATGCTTGTCTCGTTGAGTTTCTCGTCAACGTTAGCCAATTGATATTGGTGTTAGGCAAATTGAAATATGGCAATGCTAATGAATCTCAAGGGGAGATGGCTAGATTCTCTTTAGATTTGAGACGAACAACACTTAGTACCTGTGTGATGTGCCAATTATCTGCCCATGCCTGGCTGTTGTCCACTTTGTGCTGCATGTTGATGTAGATTGCTTTCATATTTGAGGAGTTGTATATGATGCTGTACATTGTGAAATAAGCATCTGTGATCTCATTTGAAATATGAAAAATTCTGAAAGGGCTTGATTGTATAGATACTGAGATTGTTTTCTCTCACTTGGGTATCTAGAACAGGGAAACACAGCCATCATTTTAGGAATGACCTGAGTAATTTCTCTATTCAAAGCATTTGAATCATTGGTATTGATACACTACTACCTGGGGTAAAGAATATAATTTATTCTAGAATGTATTCAAGACTGAGATGGAGACATGTTATTGTCCTTTTAGAGAAACAAAGCATCTGGGGAGTGGATGGGTACATGGAGTCAAATTTATTGTGATCATTTTGAATAGCAGAGTGGACTTGAGAGGTTGTGTGGTCTACCCTGCTTCTATTTGTCGTACTTTTCCTTTTTTACACTCTCAGTTCGAATTCTTTTTCACTTCCCATTCCTACATTCGGCCTGGTTCTTTATTTTATATCAATTAGACCCCTTTTAGATGCATTTTTTTTTCTGCTTCATCTTGCTCCATCTTTTTCCATCTTTTTCATCATCCAGGGGACTTTTTTGGCCCCGACAAGAATGGAGGTAATAGCATAGTGGTAACATTCACTGGAAGAATAATGTACTGAAGAAATGGGTTTGAATCACATTGGTAAATTGTGAAATATAAATTCAGTAATAATCTGGAATACAAATAATCTAGTCCAATTGGAGTTGTTGGGTCGCCAAGCTGACTGGTTTTTGTGCAAACATTTTGTCCCCCTTCTAGGTGACATCTTCAGTGTTGTCTAGACTCTGTTGAAGCACTGTTGATCTGTTCCATTCAGAATTTATATGGTCTAGTCTGTTATGGTGGGTAGTTGTGTTTCTGGTTTTGCTCCATAGTGGAATGTAGTTGGGGTCTATTTCAACATGTTTGGATATAGTACCAGTGGTTGAAAACCAGGCTTCCAAGAATTCTCGTGCT